GTAAATAACTAATTACATTGTGTTCTACTTTATGATAGCTTTCTGATCATAAAAGTCATTCTAATATCGATCAGCATTATTAAAATTATTAAATGAACGGGCATATGTATTTATGTAAACATATGAAACACAAGCCGAGTAATAAATTATGCTCGAAGCAAGAGCGGCGGACTCTGCTATCGCTTGCAGACACGCTGTCGGTAGGGGAAAGAAAAAGAAAAGAGAAGAGAAAGAGAGAAAGAGAGAAAGAAAGAAAGAAAGAAAGAAAGAAAGAAAGAAAGAAAGAGAAAAAAAAAGAGAGAGAGAGAGAGAGAGAGAGAAATGTCCTTATCTTCGTCGGTTACTACAATAATCACTCTATCGTGTACGGTGTAGCTTGCGTGCTCTGCGAAAATCACCAATCGCCTTCGGTATAAATTTTCTAAACACGATTACATTTTCTTCGAGTTTCCGAAAATGAATGGCGTCGATATAATTATTTTTAAAATCATACTGATTCCGGATTAAAATTAAAAGATTGCACGAGGTCGATTTCTTATCTCGATCGTCGATCTCTTTCTTCTTCTTCTTCTTCTTCTTCATTTTTTTTTTTTTATTCTTCCACTTTACTTACTACTTCTTGAAAAACGTCCTAATAATAACCGTTTACTAAATGTATCGTAAAAAAAGATCATTATAAAACGAAGAAACAATAAATGATACATAGTTTATTAATTATCAAAATTGTTATAAATATATATATATATGTGTGTGTGTGTAAGTACCTAGGTATATTATTACATTAATGCATTCTTTCTTTTTTTTTTTTTTTTTTTTTTTTTTTTTTTCAAGGAAAAAAATCAAATAAAAATAAAAAATCTAACTACGTTAGAATTGTAATATAATCCTCTCAGTCATCCCTCTTTTGCATACTTCTCAATCCATCCGTCCGTCGGACCTCATCGTAAACGTTTAACAACACATAGTTCTTTCCCTTCGATAATTCGATTGAGTTTCGCCGAAAGGTAGAAGACGAAGACGAAGACGAAGATGAAAACGAAGACGAAAGATGAAAACGACGATGAAAACGAAAACGAAAATGAAGAGGATGCAGAAACGAGCGAGCTTCTTTTTATATGGACGACGTTCACCTTTTGAGAAGGCCGAAAGGGTGACGAGAACCTCTACCGGTTCTGCGCCTCGTAGATAATTAATTTTGTCTGGAGACAGGGCTATAATAAAACGGACTCGCGCATTTGTTCGCGAACTATATCGCGAATAGAGGTATTCTGAAATTAAAATTCAACCTGAATCTCTTTCCGTCTATATAACATTTTATAATATTCTTTTACGAGTACTGTACGAAGGGGGAAAAAAAAATTTAACAACAAAAAGATTGCTCGTTGACATCGAGATATTATTATTTCCACTTTTTGTTTTTTCCCTGCTCCCACTCTCTCCCCCCATCTTTTTGATTTTATTATTCTTCCTTGTCGTTCGTCCACCCATTCCCACCCGGGCCCTCCTCCTTTCCCCCTCTTGCCCTTTATCGTTCAATCAAAATTTCTACAGAGATACATTTCCCTTATCAATGAAAAGTTCGATAACACTATTTAATGACGTTATTGCCGATCGAGGCAACGATTGACCTTACGAAGATAATAATTTCAATTCGTCGGAATTGAGTTTCGAGCAAATATCAAGGAATCACGATTCAACTCGATTTAACATACTGACACTTTACAATCGATTAATTCTTGTTTACACGTTGTATACGTTAAGTACGTTTGCCAATTAACGTACAAGCCCGATCCTTCGTCGATGTATGGATATACGTACGTACAGATTTGTACAATGACCCTATCTTATTCTACTTTTCTTTTCTTTTTAATTTCTTTAACCTTTAAGATAATGTGATCCATTTTTCTTTTTTTTTTTTTTTAGTCTCTTATCAATGCATCTCTCTTTTCTCTGTTGAGAACGGAAAAAGAAGAAAAAAGAAAGAAAGAGATATCACTTTCACTCTTTCTCTCTCTCTCTCTCTCTCTCTCTCTCTCTCTTTCTCTGGATAGAGAGAAAGATAGAGAGAGAGAGAAAGAGAGAGTATACGCTGAGGATTTAGAAGAGTTCGACGAATGATCGCAAAGAAAATCGCGTGCTAGCCGAGTTGATCGAGCTCAGAGACATCGTTTGAAACGAGTTCGAATAAGACAAACGCGTTGAAGCGCGAAGTAAGCGTAGGAAGGAAGAACATCGTCGATGACGATAGGGACGAGCTTGTCACGATATTCCCGACGTATAATTCTGACCTTGCCGGCGGATCCGAACTTCGTACCGTCCGTCGTCCATTTCGCAATTCCCCTTTTTCTTTTTCTTTTTCTTTTTCTCCTCCTCCTTCTTTTTCTTCTTTTTCTTCTTCTTTCTCTTTCTCTTTCTCCTTCTCTTTTTCTTTCTCATCTTCGTCGTTCCCTTATGTTTTGAACACGACCGTTCTTTATATTTGAATTTTTATATCTGCTCCAATGCTAATCGACCATCTCAAATAAACACATGATAGTTAAAGCATATATCGTACGTATCGTATATCTTTTTAGAGTAAATCGGTATGTGTGTAAAGAAAAAATAAAAAGAAAAAAGAAAAGAAAGAAAGAAAGAAGGAAAAAAAAAGAGATAAAAAAGAAAATTAAAAAGATCCAAATGGACAATTATACGTTTCGCTAATGAACCAACTTCGTTATATCGAAGAAGCTTAAAATCAAATGGATTCTTTTGTCGGTAGGTTACGAGAATGACTACTTTTCGATTGATTAGAAAGTGTCACGTTAGAATAAATATTGCCAACGTCACTCTTCTTCTTTTCTTTCGTTTCTTTTTTTTTCCTCCTTGCTTTTTCCGTTTTCTTTTTCTTTTTCTTTTTTTTTCCTTTTTTTCCTTTATTCACTTACTTTCCTCTTTTTTCCTTCTTAATCCCCGTCTCTTCCCAATTCCCGAGACGAGACGAGCAATCTACAACGACGCGAGAGAAACCGAGAAACCCGTTTGCCATGTTCATTCTGCGAATATATCACCGGGCGTTACATTGCCGATAAGCCTCGAATGAACACAACACACTGAACTCAACGATAAATATATATATATATATATATATATATATATATATATATATATGTATATAAATATATATATTTCAATGATCAAAGTCAAAAGTATTATGGATTCCATTCGTTTCTATACTATGTTTTACGCACGCACTTACGCACAGGCACATACACACACACACGCGCGCGCACATACATAACATAAACAAGCAAATACCTACTTAGAGTTCATTTATTTTGATTATAGAGATTTTAAATCCAAGGTCAAGTTTACTCAGGTACTTTTATTTCTTTTGTCTCTTTAAAGAAAAAAGAAAAAAAAAAATAAAAAATAAAAAAGAAATAGAAAAGATAAGAAATACTTTTATCCTTAAGCCACATCGTTAAATTTGTATTAGAAATAAATCCCATAGTATTTCGCATTCACTTTAAAAGAGAAGCGAAGCCGGTTAACAGGTTAACCACGAAAGGAGAGAAATACGAAGAGTGTTACGTCGAATAAACCGAAGTAAGAGCTGTCTAAGCCTTTAACGGTAAACCGGAGGTACAGGGTAGTCGTACGAGTCGAAGTAAAACCAAGAAACAATCGTCGCTAACCATAGCACGAAGTAAACGTAATTGGCAATGAATTTATAACTTATCAGAAAATCGATTTTCTTCGGACTTATGATAATAAATAATAGAAGCTATAATACGAATTAAATTTGACAATGTCCCGATATACTTGATATTCCATAAAAATTCATTATTCTTTTTTAAACGTTAATCAAGTTTTCAAGTACATGACTATATCACGTAATCTCGCACGTTCAAAAAAAAAAAAAAAAAAGGAAAAAAAAAATAAAAAAGAAAAAGAAATAGATTGTAGATAATATTTTTCCTTCAAATGATTCAAGGAAACGTTAGATTGAAACAAAGATTCTCCTTTAAAGTTCCATTCGACACGTATGACCGCGCCAAAGTAATTTTCCATAAATCTTATTATATTCATCTAATATCTTTTATAACGTCTGATGGATAAAAATAAAAAAAAAAGAAAGAAGAAGAAGAAGAAGAAAAAAATATACAGGAATACTCGTTGTCACAGTTCAAACGTTAAACATTAATCCGATTAAAAAATGTTTTAAGTAAATAAGTAAACGTGGTCTTTCAAATGTTAAAAGATGTTCATCGGCCGATTGACGCGGCCATTCAACGCGGCATCGTTTTTAATGTTATTTTCATAACATCAAAAAATAAAAAGAAAAACACATACACACACAAATTATCAATATAGAATTCAATATACGTGCATATCCGAAATCTTTCGTAATTCTCAAACAATTCAATGTCATCAATGTTTGCATTGGATACCATTTTCTTTCTTTTCTTTTTTTACTCTTCTTTCGTTTATTTCTTTTTTTTTTCTTTTTTTTCAAGAAGATCGATCGAGTAAAGAAACGATCAAAACGAAATAGACGTATATAAACTATAAAAAAAAAAAAAAAAATCCGTAACGTCCGATCATATCGAGGATTTTCATCGACGTTCGAAGATATTGATATTCGACGCCGTATTAAAAGAAACACGAAAATTGTGCTCTCTCACCTTTGGTCACTTCGTTACCAAAGGGGTCGATCGAGTACGACGAAAGAGATACGTAAAAGATTAATTCGAGAAAGATGAGGAAGAAAAAATAAAGGGGGAGGAGGAATATTAAAAAAAAAAAAAAAAGAAAAAAAGAAAGAACTAAAAACAACAGGGATAAAACAAGAAGAAGAAGAAGAAGCTGTCGATCTCGAAATAATATATAGGTTAACTAAGTAAATACATATATATATATATATATATATATATATTATATATATATATATAGAAGTTTTCTTCCATCATAGGTAACCTACGTCGTCGTTCGACGAATGTCGTAAGGGGGATGAAACTCACCCAGTGCATGCCGGTGGTAGGAGGGGCGCGCTCCTCATACACTCCCATCAGGGTGGCTTCTGTCGCGGGGTAATTCCCAGCGAGGGTGCGCGACGTTGAAGCTGCTTGGGGGGGAGTCCCGGGGGATCCGCTTGCCGATAACGCGGAGATGGCGTCCGCTGAGCGGCTTCTCCTCTGGTTTTTCCACCACCACCACCAGCACCACCACCACCACCACCACCACCACCACCGCCGCCGCCGCCGCCGCCGCCGCCGCCGCCGACGCCGCCGACGCCACCGTCGAGCGACTCCTCCTCCTCCACCTCCTCCTCCTCCTCTTCCTCCTCTTCCACAACCTCCTCTTCTTCCTCTTCCTCTCTAGCTTCCTCGTTCTCGCTTCGATACCGCAACAAACCCTCTTCTCTCGAACTGTCTGGGTTCTAACTTCTAACTCGACGGAACGTCCTCATCCAATGATTATTCTTTGATTATTACGATCGTTATTTTATTGTGTTTGTAATTGTTATTACGATTATTAAATTATTATTATTATTATTATTTTTATTGTTATTATAGGTTTATTATTAATGGAGAAAAAAAATTGTGAGTAGAAGCTGCAAATAGCAGCGCCCTCACGGGCACATCTCAAAGGACAACTTTGGTCCCTCTTTCCTTATCGTCTTTGAACGACAAACCTTTTTGAGGGGGAGGGAAAAAAGAGAGAAATAAAGAAAGGAGGAAAAATGAAAAAGGGAGAGTGAAAAAGAGAGAGAGAGAGAGAGAGAGGAAAAAAGAGAGAAAGAGAAAGAGAAAGAGAGAGAGAGAGAGAGAGAGAAAGGAAGATTCAGAGAAAACTTTTGAATCTTATCACGTCGCGTAGGTAGATTATGTATATGGAAACACTCTATCGTTCGCACCACTCGATCGTTCTCACCATTTTCACGATTATATTTAATCGGGTCAATAATAAACACGTAATTAATAAATAATAATAAGAACGTAGGAACGTAAACAATATTAGCGATGTAATTATTCTTCTTTCTTTCTGCCGTCGGATAATATTAATATTTCGAAGTCAGACGTTTAAACACTGATATCGTGCACTCGATTATCACAAGGCTTACATATTTCTTTCTTTTTTTTTTCGGCACGCACCAACTAAATCCTCACTGTTCCTTGTTCGTAGAGTTGTAACCGCGAATATATTATCGTAATTGAAGGACGAAACACGGTCGTCACGCGAAAAAGATGAGATCGCGAATGATCTCATCTCATCTCTCGGCTCCGCTCGGCTCGGTTCGGCTCGTCGTTTGGATAGCTCTCTTCTAAAGGGGAGCCGTCTTCCGACTCGAAGCCGCGACGCGGAGTGAGGGAACCGGCACGACAGCGTCCGCTTTCAGCCGAGAACAGCGCCGTCCTGCGGCAAATCGGCCGAATCAAACAGCCACGCCGAGAACCGGCGATTCAAGCCGAAGTTGGGCGGACACGATTCGAAGAAGGCCAGCCCACCTATGACCCCTCCACGATCAACTCTCTACCGACAAGCTCCTCCTATCGAAACAGAGATCCTCTTCTTACCCTCCGCATCCCTAAACCTTATTCCATCTCTCTCTTTCTCTTTTTTCCCTCTTTCTCTTTCCCTCTTTCTCACTCTATCTCTCTCGCTCTTGATCTATAGATCTTTCTTTCTCTCTTTCTTGATCTATAGATCTCTCTCTCCCTCTCTCTCTCTCTCTCTCTCTATCTCTCCCTCTCTCTCTTTCTCTTTTGCAGAGATCCCTTTCGGCTCCACTGCGATTTCCACTGGCGTAGCATTCGATTTTTCTCATTGATTTATATAGGGTGAACCAAGAGTTCTTACGTTATTTTACATATCGATTACTATTTTTCACAGCGAATTTTTTCTCTCTCTCTCTCTCTCTCTCTCTCTCTTCTTTTTCCTCTTTTTTTTTCCTTTTTTTTTTTTTCTTTTTTTGACACATCGTAATTAAATCACGAAACATTTTTAGAAATTCCTTTTTGCGAGATCTTCCTTCGAAGAGAAAAATGTAGAGAAAGATGAAAAGAAAAGAATCTAATCTAAAGAAATGAATGAGTCACGAAAAAGAAGCTTAGATGATTATTAAATGATTCATTTTCAAAATGAAACTTACGGAATTCTTGACCCGTTCTATATTTATTCTATTCCTACGAAACTTTTCAAACTTCTCAACCGATTAATTTCATTGCTTCGATCGATCGTTCTATTTTCTAGACATTTTTTGAGTTATCTTCAAGGAAGAAAAAAAAAAAAATAAAAAAGGAACTAGGATAAAAAAAAACCTAGAAAAATGTTCTACTCGAAGTAAATAAGTACTACTTATTTTGCCTAAACAGAAAATTTCTCATCGAACTCATCGAACTCATCGAATTTAGAAGCATCGAAAAATCCTTTTTGGATTTTCGCGCGAATAAATCGCACAAGAACGATGAATGAAGGAAATATAATTAAATTCATTTCGAAGCCTCTGCTTTGCTTTCTTACATTTTCTCTCCTTCTCTTTCTCTCTCTCTCTCTCTCTCTCTCTCTCTCTTTCTCTCTCTCTCTCTCTCTCTCTCTCATTCTTTTGCTACATTTTATCTTTTTATCTTTTTTCTTTTCCTTTTTATTTTTTTTCTTTTTTTTTTTTCTTTCGTTGGGAAGTCGATTCGACCGTTCGAACGGTAGCTGGCCACCGTCTCGCATCTTTTTTTTTCTTCTTTTTTTTCTTTTTTACTCTTACGAAGGACTCCTAAGGACCTACTACGTCCCTTCTACCCTCGATCCTCGCGTGCTACGCCTCCTTAAATATCCTCCCGTTCTTTATTCGAAATCCTATTCATTCTCTAACTGGAAATTTGTTAATATCTTAATTATCTTGATAAAATCGTATTTAGCTCGTACGTGAAAAGATTAAAAAATTACTTTTCATTAACTATCTATTATTATAAATATATCTATTTACATACTTATTTACTTATATCTTCAATTATTTTATATAGTCATTAATAATTGATTTTAATCGATCAAAATGATATTAACTACTTTTATCTGTAATCGTTACGAAAGGGATATTTATTTTACGTAAAAGAAAAAAAGAAAAAAAAAGAACAAAAGAAAAAGAAAAAGAAAAAGAAAAAGAAAAAAGAAAAAAGAAAAATAAATTCCAACAGGTTTAATCCTTCGAACTAGATTCTATTTTTTCAACGTCGTTGAGTTAAAATTTTGATGAATGAAGGAGAAACAAAAAGTTAATTATTCTTTTTCCTTTCTTTTTTTTTTTTTTTTTTTTTTTCTTTTGTCGATCCGCGTCGACGTAACTAAAATTTTTAAATAAAAATAATCCGAATGAGAAATCTTTCACAACGGGGAAACGAGCGAACGATTTATTCCTGTCATTTCATAGATGACACATAAGAGTTTTATAGGAAATCTTTATCCAGCGTGAACTTACGATTTAAAAGGATTAAAATCTGATCGTTAAAATATTGACAGAAGATATATATATATATATATATATATATATATATATATATATATATAGAGAGAGAGAGAGAGAGAGAGAGAGATAGAGATAGAGAAAGACACAAAGAGAGAAAGAGAGAGAGAGAGAGAGAGAGAGAGAGAGAGAGAGAGAGACAAACAGACAGATAGAATAGATCGAGTTTGAGAGCCGCTGAAAAGGAACGACGGGCCGATATATTCTGTCATAAAAAAGAACCGGTTTCGTTGCAACGAAGACGGAAAGTGTCGTATACGCGGGGGGGCGTCAATTCAAGAAATTCCCTGACGTTAGGACATTGCTCGATGACGTTTTCGAATAGGTGCTCGAGGTGCTCCTCTCTTGGCTTGACCCCAACATGCAAAGATTACTCGGCGAGCCCTTTATTGCATCGGCAGCGATCATTTTATTTCGTTCGTACGATTAAACCAAGTGTTTACAGGGAGAGCCAAGCTTGGAATGCAGAAAAACATGTCGACGAAGCGAATCGACCCGAAGTGAGTCCTCTTCTTCTTCTTCTTCTTCTTCTTCTTCTTCTTCTTCTTCTTCATCGTCGTCGTCGTCGTCGTCGTCGTCGTCGTCGTCGTCGTCGTCGTCGTCGTCGTCTCCGTCGTCGTAGTTTTCGTTGTTTTACTGTTCGAATGGTCCGAATTGTCATTTCGTAAAACTTCAAACAATGCCGAATTCTTTTTTCATTTCTCTAAGTTACTCCTTCAAAGTTATTCTTTCCTATCTATCATTCAATTTAAAACCCATGCGAGATCAATCCATTTCATCGTCAAATGCATCTACCAATATATATATATATATCGATATTCGTCATCCCTTATTCTCTAAAGAGAGAGAGAGAGAGAGAGAGAGAGAGAGAGAGAGAGAGAGAGAGAGAGAGAGAGAGAGAGAATAGAATAGATTAGATAGTACTTACATCCCTCTTCAACTCTCGTCACATTGTCAATTTGGAATATGGAAAAAGGAAAAAAGAAAATGGAAATCGTGAGAACGAATCCCATTTTAACAAAACGTATTGGAAAATGGTAAGACGATCCTCGATCCTTATATTAGATCCTCGTTAACGCTTACTAACATCGAAATTGATCCAAAAATTATAGTACGCGAAGCGACGGGGTGGCGAGAACATTTTTAAAATTTCACTCGAAGGGAATGAAAATGTCGGTGGCGAATAGGTAGTCGATTATCCGCTCGTTTCGATCAGCTTTCTCTCTCTCTCTCTCTCTCTCTCTCTCTCTTTCTCTCTCTCGTCGCGGTTGGTCTTGAAATGCAAGAGCTTTACGAAGATCGACGAGGCTTTCATACTTTTCGTCGAGTCCCACTCGTGGGGGGTTCTCAACGGGCGGGGTTCCATTCACCATGGGGCGCCGCTCTTCATTGTACCGTCACTGCGTGTTTAGTATTCACGCGTCAAGTTAACAGCATCTCTCTCTCTCTCTCTCTCTTTCTCTCTCTTTCTCTTTTTCTTTTTCTTTCTTTCGAATTGTTACCTTTCTCCTCCCAAAGGCTCGGTCAGGACGATCCCTTCTTTTTCCCTTC